ATGGCATTAGTACAGAACAATGAAGGAAAATAGATTGACTGAGCAGTGAGCACGGCTTACATGTTGAACCGAAGTTCTTGCTAATGTACCAGTCGGGCACGTCGGCTGTCTCATAATTACCAGACACCCAGAAAAAGTCATCGTCATGCATATCTATATCCGGGGTGCCGGTTACGAGTTTTTCTTTGCCCAATCTAATTTTAAATAATAATTAAGCCCGTCGCCTGTATGGCCCATTGTGTATTGGCGCAGAATCTCGGCTAGCCCAAGGTTCAAACCGAGCCGGTTGTTTAGCTCGGCCACACCATTTATTATTCTGAATGTATTGGTGTAGACCTGTGTTGGCGCTAGCCCGGTACGCCTCAAGAACTCACATATTAGAGGTTGGGCCAGGAAGCGTAAACCACCCTCGATTATGGACAGCACGGTGAAGGGGCATGCATCCAATCTACCCCATGGTGTGGTATCCTTGGCGCCGAGCTCGAGATGTATGTCTGTGGGGACACCATATTCTTCCCGAAACGCGGCAAGGGCAACCGGCGTGTCAACCAGGAAGCGGTAACGCCCCATGGGAAGCCGGTTGGTTTTATCACGGCAGTGTGTTTGGCAAATTTTCATTTGATGGCTGCTCGGCTGTTGAGAGCCTCAGTGTTGGTTCTGGTCTACTAAGACTCTGCAGTAAGAGTAAAGACAAGTGTAAGTGGGAGCGCGGTTATGCAAAACGAGCTCGACTTTAGCTCAGTCAGATAGAGTGCCAGACCATCTCGGTCACAAAGGTAAACCCAGAAGCTCAGCTGCTCAAGTGGACCAGATATTAGCCCGGTCAAGCGGTCAAGTACTCTGCTACCTTGGTTCTTACAGGAGTTTTTGTAAGCTCACAACTTGCTCGGTTTTGGTGTTTTTTGGGATCAAAAGAAGACCTGGAGCCCGGTCCGCCCCAGATCCTCGTGTGTTCATCATGGAAGTTGAAGAACAGTTGAGAGAGATGGGGCAGGGGTGGTTTTTGGGGAGCTACATCCTAAAACCTATTGCTAATGTGCCCTAAAATGTGGGTTTCAAATGAAAAACAACGAAGAGAATCGAAGAACTTACCAGTTTAGAGGCAAAAGTCGAATCTTCGAGCACGAACGCAGTCGAGAGTAGGAATGGTGTTTGAGTAGAGAGGTTGGCACTGCAGCATTTGGACGTCAGGAATGGAAGAAAAACAGTAAGAAGAAAATATAAAGGGGCAGGTGGCGTGTTTATAGGAGAAAAGAACTGCCAAAATTCAAATATAAAGAGACGGCTGGGTTGGCTGCTCGAGGCCAATAAATGATCGACGCGTGTCCATAATGGCGGCGACGTCAGTACTGAAAAGATAAGATGGCAAGTTGAGGCGTCAACCGAGCAAGCCTAGAAACTGAGCATGGTGATTAGCGTGGTTAACAACTTGCGGAGGAAAGACCAACGGAGAATGCACTCCGGTCGGATCATGTAATCCCAGTCACGCTTTTATGAACGGAATTAAGGGGCAATTGAGAGGGAGATTCATAAGCCGGTTTGGGCCATGGTAGAAGCTGAGCAGGTGATGCCCGAGCGTGTTTGGGCCGACCTAATTTGGGCTTGTCCAGAGGCGGTTTTGTTCGATCGAGGCCCAGGACCATGTTTGGACCGAGCTACTTGGGCTTGTCCATGGCCAAAGTTGGTTTTGCTCGGCCAAGGATCAGGCCCCGTGTTTGGACTGAGCTTACTTGGCCGAGATGGACGCCTGCCAACCTGGGTTCCATGGTTCGCACGTTTAGCTCGGCGAGAAGGCCTTCTGTTTACCGGCTCGACCTGTCTTGAACTCGACTTTGTCGGAATGCTACTAAGCTCGGTTGTGATGGAGCTTGGCGAGTGGAGCCCTCGAACTCGTTACGCAGCACGGTCGTATGAGGCCGAGGTGATGCCGCCGGGGTTCCTAGTTCCCGCTAACGTTGTTTGGCGGTTTGGTTAGGTGGTGTTAGCTGGATTTGTGCTGACAGATGGGAGAGCAGCTCCACGTGTCAACAGACTAATGGGTGTAGAGCTGAGCGCAAAAAGTATATAAGCATGACTGCGCCCCTTATGCTGGGGATGGAACATCATTTGGTGAGAGAAAACTTAACATTCATTCAGCTCTTCTATCTCTCTCTCTCTTCGAGTGTGTGCTAACTTGATCGTCGGAGGGGTTTTCTGGCAACACACTGCCGGGTAGCTCACCGCCGTTGTGTTTGCAGGTCGATTGGATAGATTCAGAGTTTGGACGAAAGGAGTACGGACAGCATCGAATATCTTTTTCCCGCACAGTTTTGTTTTAAAATTTTTGATGGTCGGTATATTTTTAAAATGTTCATGAGTTTCATTTAGTGTGTTTAGTTTCATTTTTCTGAAAATTATTTTTTTTGTTTTTAGTAAATATTTTTAAAATTTTAATTATTTTTTTTTTTACTTTTTTAGTTGCACCTAACTTAGATGTATTTAAAAAGTAAATTATTTATGAAAAAAATTAATAAATATACAAAAATACGAAAAATGTACTGAATTTTGGTAATTTTTTTTATACTTTTGGTATTTAGTGAATTTTTTAAGATTTTTTTCACGAAAATTATACTTCTTAAGGATTTTTATGTTAGGTTTGTCTAAAAATTTTAAAAATTACTTAAAATATTGAAAAAATTCAATAAAAACAAAAAAATTAAAAAGTAAAATTTTTTGAAAAGTGTTTTTAGAAAACTTAAACCAAACAAAGTGATTAGTAGTACTGAATAATTGTTTTTCAATGAGTCTTTTCAAATTAGTAGTATAATTATGTTTAAGTTTGTGTAGAATTCTATATGTAATTAAGAAAATACATAGTAACATGGCTATCTTAAAAAAAAAAAAAGCCCTTATAACGTACCACCTAAGCATGAGAAAACATTACTTTTAATAATATATTAGTAGTTAACCCATGCAATGCACTACTATTTTTTTAAAAAATAACTGATGGTACAATGTATGTTATAAAAGAATAATTTTAATTTTAATTTAAAATTAAAATTAAAATTAAAGTATGATTTTAATTATTTATTTTGATAATATTTTGTAAATCGTTCTATAAAATTGCTACTTGAATAGTTACATATTTAAATTATAAAATAATAAAATAAATACTTATTTTGATATTAAAAATAATAGTTAAATTAAAAGAAAAATTAGTAACATAAAATTAAAAGTAACTCTAATTATTTTATTTTATATTATATTCATTTGAAAAATAAAAATATATAGAAATATAAATTATATAAAATTTATTAAAAAAATTAAATATAAATATGTTGTAATTGAATTATCGTATAATGATTTTATATGATAACTATACATATATTAAATTATAAAATTGTAAAATAAGCACTCTTAATTAAATTAAAATATCAACTATACCAAAGAAATTCAACAACGATTAACCAAGAAAGAATCACATAACAACATGTAAACCCAAAAAGAAAAAATAATGAAAATATTCAAACGATAGATACATCCCAATATGTGAAGTGATGTCAAAATATAAAAGAACTTACTGTTCACCAATTGAAAAAATAACTCAAATAGTAAATTCAAACTTTAGAAGCTCTTCGAGAGTATTACTGTTATGCGGGTTTTTTCTTCTGTGAATTGTGATTATATAAAATAATGTAAGAAATGAAGTATAATTTCATATATAGAATGACAGTAAAATTTAAACGACAAATTCATAATATAGAATAATATAGAATTGGTATATGATATAGAATAATGTACGGGAAAATAAGAAGGAAAAAAAAGAAGAAGACAATTTAGCATTTAAAAAAAAAAATCCTAATATGCTTGAAAGTTTTAAAAAGAAAAACGTGAAACGCAAATTAGTATTGGGTTTATGAATTTTTTCAATTTATCATGAAAAATATTTGTTAAATTGAGAACATATAAAATAAATAAAGTTAATATAATTTAAATTAGGTTGGGTTTATGTAGAACACTATATATAATTAAGTTAGTATAATTTAAACAAAAATGTTTGAGACCCCCTTTCCCTCACCCTCTTTGACCCCCTCTCTTTTTTGATTGGCTTTTTTTTTTTTTTTTTCTTCTTCTTTCCCTTCTCCTCCAATCACCACCCGCCACATGTGTGTAGGGTGTGATAAGGGTGGTGATTGGAGGGGATCTCTATCAATGCTCTAATTTAAATTAAGTTGAGTTTGTGTATAACTTTATATGTAATTAAAAATATATATATTAACATTACTTCCTTACGCTATGCTTGGTTGAGGGATTTGGGGAGGGATTCGGAAAGAGAAAGAGGAAAGGTGTGTGAAACTATGTGAATTATGTACATACTTATATTTCACATAGTTTCACACATCTTTTCTATTTCCATTTCCCTTCCTTTTTCATTTTCCTTTCTGAATTCCTACTCAAATCTCCCAATCAAACACAGTATTAAAGAAAAAAATAAATAAACTCTTATAATGTGCCATTTAAATAAGAAAGAATCACTAATTTTAATAATATATTATATATATATGATTTACAATTTTAATATTTTTGACCTTATCTAATTTTCATTTTGAAAAGGTTTGGATGTCCAGTTCGGGACTTGGTCCTTGTTTGGGGAGGAGACCCATTCCAATCTTCCAATGACCTTGTTTGGGGAGGATTAATTTCCAATTGTACTTAAAACTGTGTTCGATTGGAAAATTTATGAAGAAATTTTAAAAATAAATAAATAAATAAAATATATTTATATTTTACATAATTTTATATATTTTTTTATCTTTTTTTTTTAAATTTCTCTTCAAATATTTTAATTGACCAAACACGGAAAAGAAGTCTTCACGTGTGTAAAAACACTGCCCAATCAGTGCAAGCCACGTAGCCTATCATACTTGCTGCCGCCAATCACGATCAAGTCCGCGACGTATGAGTCGTCCATCTCAGCTTCCCGCATATATATATCTATATATAGGCTCAGATTATTTTTGAAAAAGCAATTGAAAGCTTTGATAGCAGGGGAGGGAGGGAGAGAGAGCGAGTTACCAAGAAATTTCTTCGTCCCTAGCGTTCTCCAATCATCCCGATCTCTCCTGTAAAAATGGTAATTTGTCATGCTATGTTGCTCTCTCACTTCAATTGATTAGCAATGTAATTTTGTTGATTCGATCTGATTGAGTTTTTTGACATTTTTTTTTTTAATTTTAAGTCTTCTCGAAGGTCTTCAAAGATTTCTTATCATAATAATCATCAATGAATATGTTTAATTGGTAGGAATTGCAGAATGCGATTATTGTATCAACCAATGCCATAGTCTTCCACAATGCCAAAGATTAAGACTATGTTTGGTTGAATTTAAACATTTCTTTTCTCTTTTGAAAAATTTTCAGAAAAAAAGAGCTAATTATTTTATCTTTTCGAGTGCGGGAATAATATTTAGATATATATATATTTTTTAGTGTTTATTTTTGTCAAATTGTTTTCATTTAAAAGAAAAAAATTAAGCAGTAAAACAAGTTCTAATTTTTTTCAGTTTTCACATGAATTTAATCAGAAAACAAGTTCTAATCATGGTCTAGTTTATTTATTTATTTTTCAGTTTTTGCAAATATTTGATTTGTGTTTGGGATTCATTGATTTTTTTTATTATTATTAATGATATCAATATCATCATCGTTATCATTGTTATAACATCTTTTGTAGTAATGGAAAACATGCAATAGTCTATAACTTTCTTATGCTTCTCAATATTAACCTTGTTAATAGTATGACTGCAAATTAGTAATTGCAGGAAAGATAGGTTGTGTTTGGATCTTAGATTTTGAGTAGTGATGATTTGTGGAGGGAATGGAGAAAGGGAAGAGAAAAAGTGATTAAAGAAATTTTTATTTTTGTCACTTTTTCTTTCCCTCTACAAATAGCTATTCAAATTTAAGATCCACACATAACCTCAATCTTTGTTTTGGACATAAAAAAATTTAGGATGAGGTTATTGGCTTATATATATATATCGCTGTAATTTGCCACACAATCCAGAGATGTTTCTAAATCCAAAGGGGTGGGATAGCGGTTGGAGATCCACCAAAACAGTTTTAGGAAATGTATGTAGTTGGTATTCTTTCTAAATAAATACCCACAAATACAAAAGGCATTATAAACAATAGCCATTGTTGCCTAGCTTGTAAATGTGAAATTCCTCTTTTGCTTCATAAACTTAAACACTCCCTTGTTTGAATGTATTGTTATAAATTGTATTTTGCAGACAACATCAAGGCGTCTTGCTGATAGGAAGGTGGGGAGGTTTGAGAAGAACATTACCAGGAGAGGAGCTGTGCCAGAATCAACTGCAAAGAAGGGAACTAACTATCCCGTTGGCCCTGTTCTCCTCGGTTTTTTCATATTTGTTGTTGTCGGATCATGTAAGATTTTCCCTTAGTTCCCTTTAATATTCTGGTTTTTCCACACATTCATCACCAACTAACATCTTTTAAATCTTTGAGGGAATAGATTTAAAAAAAAAAAAATTTTTGGTACGACAATATTAAATTTCCCATCTAACTGATTGTACATGTGGGTAATTTTTGTTAAAACTTTAGAGACATATTGTCTGAGTAAATCTTGTTCAGTATAGCAATGATTTCCCTTAATCTCCAGTAAATTATATGTTTGTTTTGATTAAGTTACTGATTTGATAGTTTTATTTTATTTTTATGACAGCTCTGTTTCAGATAGTGAGGACAGCTACAAGCGGAGGCATGGCTTAAGCAAATCGTGTGATGGTGTAGCAAATGGCTACTTCTTGTGATGTGTAACTTCTTGTTAGCATAATTTTAGAGATCGAACTTTTGTTTACAAGACACACTAGCATTTGTTAATCTATGTTGTGGAAAGTTTGAAAATGAATAAAAATCCCCACCTTCTTACTTTGTCTTATATATATATACTAGTGATAACCCGTGCCTGAAGGCACGGTCAATAGTTTTTTTGGTACCACACGGGTTACGGAATTCAATTGTAATAAATTAATTTAAAATGATATATCACTCTAATTTAATACTTCACAAATAAGAAGTTGAAATTGTTTCTACATAGTAAACTGGCAAAAACATTCATAAATTTCAAATAACAAACTTCAAAATTACAGTCCAAATAATAAATTTTATATTACAGTGTAGCATAAGCAAATAATAGAATCTAAAAATATTTGCTAAAATTCAAGTCCAAACAACAAATTTTAGAATTCAATCCACGCTAAAATGACACATGTATAGCAAACCTTCAATAAAAGGATGTTACTGAATTAGTATCATAACTGATAACCTTTTCAGTTTATCAAATTTCAATACCTTCAAGAAAATGTGAACAAATATAGTTTCACAAGCATATAGACCAAAGGATATACAATATCTCTCTTTGTCTTTACTAACTTTTTTGCAAGGTCACCAACATCTTTTAATTCAAAAAACTCACTGTGTGAGTGCATATCAACAACATAGTTTTCAAGTTGATTCTCAAGTGTCAAGAGGTCCACTGTAGAAAACTCAGATGGATATAATTGAGCAAGACGAACCAATCTCGATTTATCAAAAGAACAAAATGAGTTTCTCGGATTCAAGCAAGCCACACAAATAAGTAACTCAGTATTCAACTCAGCAAAACGACTGTTTAGCTCTTGAAGTTGCATATCTAAAACTGTATAGAATAGCTCAATGCAATAATGGTGTAAATTTGTAATTTGTGGGGCCCTACGTCGCGATCTCCCTGGAAGTATGAATATATCATGCATATTAGAAATAGGGATATCATGCTTTTTGCAAAATAAGGAAATCTCAGTTAATAGAGATTCTCATCCTTCATCTTGCATTGTTTGCAATCGTTGCTTGCACACTTTGACTAGTGACATAGCATTTATAATGTCTTGATCCTTCCTTTGCAAAGCTTGAGATAATTCATTTGCGATTGACAAGACATTTTTCATCAGGTGTAGATTAAAGGAACAATCAAAGGATTCCAATGCACATATAAAAGTACGAGCATTAGCTCTTTGCTCCGAGTATGAGCCATCCTCTTCAACAACTTCAAGAACACTTATCACTGAAGCAAACAAGGCAATCAAGTTTAGAAGTGTTCCACAATGTGATCCCTAACGCGTGTCACCGGCCCGCTTAAGACCAATTTTTTGATTCATCCCTTGCCCACTTTGAATCTCATCATTGCTTAATGATTCTGCAACTTTAGTAGCTTGTGTCTCTCTAAGCAAATCCCGACGGTTACAAGAAGCTCCAACAACATTCAATACATTACTAACCAAATTGAAAAGCGAAGCAATATCAATGTGATTTTTTGCAACAGCTACAAGAGTCAATTGAAGTTGGTGAGCAAAGCAATGAACATAAAACGCTTCTCTATTCTTCTTCGTAATTAAGGACTAAAGACCATTGAATTCACCTTGCATATTACTTGTTCCATCGTAACCTTGACCACGTATTCTTGATAAACTTAAACCAAGTTTAGAAAACAATGATTCAATTGCTGCCTTAAGTGATAAAACAGTGGTATCCGCAACATGCATGAGACCAAGAAACCTTTCTATAATGATCCCTCTTTTGTCCACATATCATAAAACAACTACCATTTGTTCTTTAGTTGATACATCACTAGACTCATCAACTAAAATCGCAAAGAACTGATTTTCAATCTCTTCAATGATGGCATTGGTAGTTTCACATGCAGCACAATTTGCTATATCTTTTTGAATCTCAGGTGTAATTAACTTCATATTTTTAGGACCCTTTTGCAAGACAACCTTGTTTATGCTCTCATTGTGATCAGCAAGAAACTGTAAAATCTCTTGGAAATTTCCTCTGTTACTTGAATTCTCTGATTCATCATGACCACGGAAAGCCAACCCTTGGCGTAAAAGGAATCTTACACAGTCAACTGATGCATTTAAGCGAGTCCGATAGTCAATCTTAGCTTGACTTGATTTCTTACGAAAAACTTCTTGGATATGTTGTTTTTGCTTCATTAAATCTTTACACTTCTTCCAAGCTTGGTTATGAGCACTCTTATAATCTCCAACATGAATTGCTAGCCTTTCTTTTTTATTCCAAGGTGTGTAGCCTCCAATAACAGAAGTGTCACCTCTGGCTTGTTTTCCAATGTCGACCTTAAATAAGTAACAACACAAACAAAATGCAGCATCTTTTTTTATGCTATACTCTAACCAATTGCCAAACTCTTTAAACCATTTTGGATTAAATCGAAGCAAAACCACACCGACATCTCTTTGTGGAAATTTGTGGCTACGAGGTTGACAAGGGCCTTTTAGCAAATATGCCCTTCTAATCTCATCTTGATCATTAGGATGATACTCTGATATTTTTTTACGTAATCCAGGATCTGTGGGAAGAGTTTCCAAGTCAATATGACTTTTCTTGGAAGCAAGTTCTATCTGATCACTACCATAAGTTTCTTGGATAGGAGATGAATCTTGTGACACAATCAATTTTCTCTTTAGAAATTTATTCATAGTGGCTTGCTTGGAAGAATTTTTTATCACAAATTTATCCATAGTAGTAGAACTGATCCTAAAATTTTAATAAGAATAAGATGTATTATTAGATTCACACATCATACAAAAGCAATGATAAAACACAGATTTATAGCATCCATATATATATATATATATATCCTATAGACTTCCAATTCAAAATACAATGGACAAACACAAATTTATCATATGTAGTTCATAAATAGAATTCAAAATCATCAATATAGTGAACTAGTAAAATTAGAATTTGATGCAAAAGAGTTTAACAGAATGCTTGTTCAAGATCATCAATATTATAAGCCCCAAAATCTGAAAACTTAATAAACCCCCAAAAAAACCCTAGGCATAGTTGTTGTATAATCCCAAATATTGACAAACCCATCATCAACACAATTGAATCACACAGAAAAACAGAGAAGGTTTTAGAGTAAAAGAAAGCTAACCTTGGTGCCACAATCAAAGACCAAAGGGCCTAAACTAGATCAAAAGTCTCGGCAATCACAACTACCACAGCTAATGAACGAAGACCCGAACGAATGAACTAGTTGCTATAACTAGAATAGAACATTGGAGAGAAAAAGAATGAAGGAAGAGAAGAAGATTAACACCATTACTTTAACAAAAATAAGTAAATATCTACACTACTACAATTGTCCACGACGACTTTTTATTTTCTGAAATTGCTGCATAATGGCCTCATTAGTTATGCTATCAAACAGATCTTTTTTCAATATATGTAACCAAACAATCATTCATCCAACTATCATCCATTCTGTTATGCAATCGGTTTTTTATGAATTTCATTGCAGAGAAAGATTTTTCCACAGTTGCAGTTGTGATTGGTAGAACCAATGACAGTTTCACAAGCATATAGACCAAAGGATATACAATATCTCTCTTTGTCTCTACTAACTTTTTTGCAAGGTCACCAACATCTTTTAATTCAAAAAACTCACTGTGTGAGTGCATATCAACAACATAGTTTTCAAGTTGATTCTCAAGTGTCAAGAGGTCCACTGTAGAAAACTCAGATGGATATAATTGAGCAAGACGAACCAATCTCGATTTATCAAAAGAACAAAATGAGTTTCTCGGATTCAAGCAAGCCACACAAATAAGTAACTCAGTATTCAACTAAGCAAAACGACTGTTTAGCTCTTGAAGTTGCATATCTAAAACTGTATAGAATAGCTCAATGCAATAATGGTGTAAATTTGTAATTTGTGGGGCCCTACGTCGCGATCTCCTTGGTAGTATGCATATATCATGCATATTAGAAATAGGGATATCACGCTTTTTGCAAAATAAGGAAATCTCAGTTAATAGAGATTCCCATCCTTCATCTTGCATTGTTTGCAATCGTTGCTTGCACACTTTGACTAGTGACATAGCATTTACAATGTCATGATCCTTCCTTTGCAAAGCTTGAGATAATTCATTTGTGATTGACAAGACATTTTTCATCAGGTGTAGATTAAAGGAACAATCAAAGGATTCCAATGCACATATAAAAGTACGAGCATCAGCTCTTTGCTCCGAGTATGAGCCATCCTCTTCAACAACTTCAAGAACACGTATCACTGAAGCAAACAAGGCAATCAAGTTTAGAAGTGTTCCACAATGTGATCCCCAACGCGTGTCACCAGCCCGCTTAAGACCAATTTCTTTATTCATCCCTTGCCCACTTTGAATCTCATCATTGCTTAATGATTCTGCAACTTTAGCAGCTTGTGTCTCTCTAAGCAAATCTTGACGCTTACAAGAAGCTCCAACAACATTCAATACATTACTAACCAAATTGAAAAGCGAAGCAATATCAATGTGATTTTTTGCAACAGCTACAAGAGTCAATTGAAGTTGGTGAGCAAAGCAATGAACATAAAACGCTTCTCTATTCTCCTTCGTAATTAAGGACTAAAGACCATTGAATTCACCTTGCATATTACTAGTTCCATCGTAACCTTGACCACGTATTCTTGATAAACTTAAACCAAGTTTAGAAAACATGGATTCAATTGCTGCCTTAAGTGATAAAACAGTAGTATCCGCAACATGTATGAGACCAAGAAACCTTTCTGTAATGATCCCTCTTTTGTCCACATATCGTAAAACAACTGCCATTTGTTCTTTAGTTGATACATCACGAGACTCATCAACTAAAATCGCAAAGAACTGATTTTCAATATCTTCAATGATGGCATTGGTAGTTTCACATGCAGCACAATTTGCTATATCTTTTTGAATCTCAGGTGTAATCAACTTCATATTTTTAGGACCCTTTTGCAAGACAACCTTGTTTATGCTCTCATTGTGATCAGCAAGAAACTGTAAAATCTCTTGGAAATTTCCTCTGTTACTTGAATTCTCTTATTCATCATGACCACGGAAAGCCAACCCTTGGCGTAAAAGGAATCTTACATGGTCAACTGATGCATTTAAGCGAGTCCGATAGTCAATCTTAGCTTGATCTGATTGCTTACGAAAAACTTCTTGGATGTGTTGTTTTTGCTTCATTAAATCTTTACACTTCTTCTAAGCTTGGTTATGAGCACTGTTATAATCTCCAACATGAATAAAAACTTCTTTTTTATTCCAAGATGTGAAGCCTCCAATAACAAAAGTGTCACCTCTGGCTTGTTTTCCAATGTCGAGCTTAAATAAGTAACAACACAAACAAAATGCAACATCTTTTTTTATGCTATACTCTAACCAATTGCCAAACTCTTTAAACCATTTTGGATTAAATCGACGCAAAACCCCACCGACATCTCTTTGTGAAAATTTGTGGCTACGAGGTTGACAATGGCCTTTTTAGCAAATATGCCCTTCTAATCTCATCTTGATCATTAGGATGATACTCTGATATTTTTTTTACGTAATCCAGGATCTGTGGGAAGAGTTTCCAAGTCAATATGACTTTTCTTGGAATCAAGTTCTATCTGATCACTACCATAAGTTTCTTGGATGGGAGATGAATCTTGTGGTACAATCAATTTTCTCTTTAGAAATTTATTCATAGTGGCTTGCTTGGAAGAATTTTTTATCACAAATTTATCCATAGTAGTAGAACTGATCCTAAAATTATAATAAGAATAAGATGTATTATTAGATTCACGCATCATACAAAAGCAATGATAAAACACAAATTTATAGCATCCATATATATATATATATATATCCTATAGACTTCCAATTCAAAATACAATGGACAAACACAAATTTATCATATGTAGTTCATAGATGGAATTCAAAATCATCAATATAGTGAACTAGCAAAATTAGAATTTGATGCAAAAGAGTTTAACAGAATGCTTGTTCAAGATCATCAATATTATAAGCGCCAAAATCTGAAAACTTAATAAACCCCAAGAAAAACCTTAGGCATAGTTGTTGTATAATCCCAAATATTGACAAACCCATCATCAACACAATTGAATCACACAGAAAAACATAGAGAAGGTTTTAGAGTGAAAGAAAGCTAACCTTGGTGCCACAATCAAAGACCAAAGGGCCTAAACTAGATCAAAAGTCTCGGCAATCACAACTACCACAGCGAATGAACAAAGAGCTGAATGAATGAACTAGTTGCTGTAACTGGGATGGAACATTGGAGAGAAAAAGAATGAAGGAAGAGAAGAAGCAACGTGAGAGTAAGGTAAGAGACACCCAAAGCAATAGTCAATGGAGAGAACCAAAACTAAAAGTCGCTGTCCAGTCTCCAGAGTAAACAAACGTTTGGTTTATTTCTAGAACTAAAAGCCTAAATTTCTGAATAAAGTTTGATTTTGTTTTTACCTATTGGGGTCAATTTGTAAAAATTTAATTTTTAATTTATTCTACTGGGGTCAATTTGTAAAAATTTAAAATTTTATTTAGACCCACTGAGTTCAATTTGTAAATATTCATAATTTTTTTACATATATTCTATCAAAAATTTGAAGTGACCAAAGCGTAGCTACGCCCCTGGATGTGGTGGAAGCACAATTCAAGCATATCTACCTTAATCACTCTTTCATGTGATTGAAGTTTCGATTCCACTGAAATGTTTTTAGTATTTGAGGCCATGTTTGTTTTGTTGGATCAGATTACATAAGACTATTAATCTAAGTGTTTGAATTTAAGATTTAAGGAGGGTTTGTTTGTAGAGAGAAAATGAACCAGATTATGTAAGACTATTAAGTGTTTTTCTTTTTGTTTTAACAAATGTTTGAATTTAAGATTCAAGGAGGGATTTGTAGAGAGAAAATGAAAGAAAAAAGGGAAGAAAAGTAACAAAAAATTTAGTTGATTTTATTCAAATTTCCCTCTACAAATCTCTTTCCAACTGAAGATCCAAAGTCTACGAATTAGGAAGGAAAATGTACTGAATTTTGGTAATTTTTTTGTATTTTTAGTATTTAGTGAATTTTTTAAAGATTTTTTTTACGAAAATTATACTTCTTAAGTATTTTTATGTTAGGTGTGTCTAAAAATTTAAAAAATTACTTAAAATATTAAAAAAAATCAATAAAAATAAAAAAAATAAAAAAGTAAAATTTTTTGAAGAGTGTTTTTAGAAAACTTAAACCAAACAAAGTGATTAGTAGTAGTGAATAATTGTTTTTCAATGAGTCTTTTCAAATTGCTGGATGGCACATGAGGGGGTTCTTTTTTGATTCAAGGAGAATTATTTTGTTTGGGCAAAAATTATTGACTCATCAATAATTTTTAATAATTTATTTTATATTTTGAATATGTAAGCATATAATGCTTTTATTATAGGGTGAACACACAATTAACATAATGTTTTAAAAAGACAGAATAATTACTCATGTTCTAGAAAGTTTAATCATAGCAAATAAGACTGCTATTATTGATTGAGTGCACACACAACTACATATCGACGGGATGAAATAATTATTAAGATATCTTGTTAAGGACTCTATTTTTCCTTTTCTTTTTCTTTTTCTTTTTTTCCTGAGCAAGGTTTCATCAAACCAAAATAATAATGTCAAATAAATGGTTACTACCAAATCTATAGCGCAGCTCTGTCATTGAAAAAACCAACAAAGCATTAACTACAATGATTAAAGAAGCTTAAATTGTTGTCATTCTCAATATTGTTCCTGATCAATCTCATGTATTCCTAAGCTTTGATTCAACGCTGACAAAGAAAAGGGCCCAAAACTAATAAAAGCAACACCTTCCAATGAGAGCAATCACTATATAACCACTAACATAATAAAATTAGCAAGCATCAAAACAGATCCAAAGTGAAGACAAATCAATTTGAAATAAGAGGAGGGATGGAGCAGCGAAGGAAAGAACAAAGGTCACAAAAATGTAGTATCTTGTTCACAAAAAAGGAACAAATCCATTACAATATTAACAGCTATGAACATGTAGTATTAATTAAAATAATGTATACCACTCTTTTCGCACAACTCTATAAATAGATGAATTGTACCTTTGCGCATTGAACAATTATGTATATTCCTATCACCTTCTTTTTACTTTTCGGACAGAATGTATCAACGGTTTTCCCACGGAACAATCGGACTTCAACCATGCCCATACTGTTACTTAGGGGGCATAAGACTGCTTATGAGCATGGGCACCGGCATGATACAGATTGAGGTGATAAATTGCGTTTGATACCAATTCTTTCAACTCGGGATGTTGAGCAGAAACTATACGGTCTGCCCCTTCAAGAGCAGACAAAACCCGAGCTTTTTCCAAAGCCTCACTATTTCCAGCATGTATTGCTAGGTAGCAGAGGAGATTCAATCCATGGAACTGCAACTGATCACCACGTCTCAACAGTCTCATCAGAGGTAGAACACAATTGAATTCGATCATTGTCTTTGAATGCTCCATACAAAGAAAATTCTCTGGGCAAGCAAACTTCCCAAGCGAAATGGCAGCTTCAGTTGCCACATCTTGGTTCCTATTGCTAAGCTGCTCAACTAGAGGACCAATAACCCTTGTCTCTCTTGCTGGAAAGGTACGAGCCAGTGAACCAATCGATTTTATAGCAGGAATTTGGAGTGATGGACTGTCCAAGTCATTGATCACCCTCAAAAGTTGATCCACAACGGCTTTCGCAGCCGGAGAGTTGGTTTTAAAGGCTGCCCGCCTAAGATCAGCATTGGACCCAGCCGAAGCTGTTATCTCCATAATCGCAATCAAACAATTCAATTGCAACTCCCCTTGTTCCTTCTCAACAAGCTTAGCCAAACAAAGCAGCCCTTTCGTCTCCGTTATCTTCCTACTATTCCACACACTACCCCTAGCAAGCATCGACAAAGCCACAGCACAACTAATTTTCAACTTGTTCTTCACTTCAGGCTTCTCATTCTCTCTCTCTTTCCTATTGTTCCCACCTCGATTACTACCATCTGAATAAAACGACAACGACGAACTCAAATCCCGTCTATGATTATTCAAATTCTTCACCATTTCCTTATTAATTTGAAAAACAGAGTGAATGCTCTGTTTAGCCAATTGAATCTTTGGGTCATCCACAAAAGTCTCGAAAGACAACAATGTCACAAGTGGTCTAATTACATTCTCTCTAGCAAATTCGTCTTGCACAACAAAGTCATGCGCTACCATTGCTGCCACTAAATTCGCTACGCAAATTTGAACCCTCATGGGGGAATCACCCAAAACCTGAACTATAATCGGAACACCGAGTTCATCGGCAATTAAATGAACCCTTTCTTGATCATTAGCCAAGTGAAAAAGCACAGTCGCAGCCGCAATTTGAGCGTCCGGAGACGAGCTCTCTTTCAAGAGCTTCAACAATGGTGGAACCCCACCTTCCTCTGCTATAATCTTCTTGTTACGATCATTATCTTGAGCAACAGAAGCGAGTTGATTTGCAGCTTCAATTCGAATACTCAACTGACCCATTTGAATTGAAGCAATAAAAGACCAAACCCAACTCAGAATAGGATCGTTACTCGCAATTGGGGGTAGAGAAGGAGCAATACCTCCATTAGCAGAGGAATCGAAGTCGAAGACGCTCAAGAGCCACTTCAAATCGCCGATGGAAGCGTCGAGAAGGTTCTGAAGTTTGCGAAAATCGGCTTGGGAAACGATTGTGACGACTCTGCGGAAGATGCTCCGGCGCTTGCACTTGCGGAGGAGGGTTAGAGTTCGGGTGAGGGTTTTGGAGACGTCGGAGACGATGCGGCGGATGGGACGGTCGTAGAGGGAGGAGGAGGAGGAGAAGCGGACGGTGGAGCGGAGCATGTGGGAGATACGGTCGACTTGCTTGCCTAGTTCGATGCAATCGGATTGGAACAACCCGGCCTCCATGGCTGAAGCTTGGATTTGGTCAGAGAGAAGAATTGGAAGGGACAAGACTTCATCGATTCGCTTCTCTTCGTTGCTCGCCATCAGAGACTCACACAATCGATTAGGGTTTTGGGTTGGAATTTCGGCGGCGTCGGCGCGGTTGGTCGGCAATGATACTTTTTGAGTCTTCGCTCCCGCGGGGATGTTTGTGTGTGTGGGGGTGCTTTGCTTTTGTTCTCTTGGAAATTGTGCTTTTGGATTGGAAAATCTTTTTTGTTGTTTGTGTTTTTTTTTTTTTTTTTTTTTTGAAAAATTATAAAATAAAAAGAAAATTTTTTAGAAAATTATTTTTCAAGGATTTGTATCTTGATCTTATATTTTAATAAATTCTATTATTTAGATATTTAATTTACTAAATTTTAATTATCATATTTAAGGTATTTTATGGATATTTTTACTCTTATAAATATTTTTTAAACAGTTAACAATTTGATAATGTGAACATTTATATTTTATAATGTGAATATTTACATTGACATGTTAACATTCATATTGATGATAGGCACATTCACATTGACGATGTGAACGTTCACATTGATGGTGTAAACATTAATATCACGAAACATACACACTATAAATATGAATATTATTAGGGATATTTTGGTAACTATATCACCCATAAGACTTATTGGAACATAAAAAAATAATGTAAATTAAATAAAAAATAAATAGGTGAAAAAAGATTTATAAAAAAGTGTTCCTAAAATAAAATAAAAAATTTTAGAATGTCACGCTTGTAACAAAATAAATTCTTAAATTTAAATTTTATTAATTTAAATTTAAATTTTTTTATTTACTTTCAATCTAAATCATAATTTTATTTTTTTTGTAAATAAAATCAACGGAATGAAAATAATTTTTTAGTTATTAAACTCAATAATTTTAGATATTTTTTGTACACCTATATTGAGTTTACAACAATGCTAGAGGGCCACAATTTTTGGGGCCACAATGGCTCAAAACTGTCAAAACGACGTCGTTTTGGCATGTTTTGCACCCAAAACGACGTCGTTTTGACAGTTTTGAGCCATTGTGGCCACAAAAATTGTGACCCCTCAAACATTTTCCTTGAGCTTAATAGCTAAAACATAATTTTGCCATCGATTTTAGTTAATAAAAAAAATAATTTAGATTAAAAACAAATCAAAAAATTATTATTTAAATTGATAAAAATTAAAATTTCAAAATTTATTTTGTTATAAGGGTTAAACTTTGGTCTTTTTTTAATTATTGTTTAAAATATAAAAAATTATTTTTATTTTATTTTTTGTGTTTAAGAAAATAAAAGTAGATATTTTTTGAAAATAAATTATAAAAATAAAAAAATAAAAACACAAAAAAGAGTGATACTTGTTTGTTTATCCATTTTTTATGTGAAAAATATTAAATTATGTATTATATTTTGGTTAAGTTTGGCATCCCTTAAAAAAATTAAAAAGTTAAAAAGTCAAAAAGTCATTATCATATTTAAGTCACATCATCTTATTTAAGTTACATCACTTTTCTACTATATCACTTCAAACTCAATTCATATTTCATAAAAAGTCAAAAAATATACTTATTTAGATAATCCCAAACAATCCTTTTGTTTTTAGGGACTTTTTTATTGGATAATAATATTATGGATTGACGTCGTGTGAGACGTGCTTTGACTAAAAGCTCATGGGTGCGGCGAATGTATAAATTTACATTTATTATAATTTTTGGAGAAAATTGCAAAAAGTTGGAAAAAACTAAACAATTTGCAAATAAGTGAAGAATTCGAAATAATTTCAAAAGATGGAGAGGTTCGTTGGTTAACGTTTTCAGTTTTCAGCCTTTTAGTTTATAAAAAAATAAAAAAAAATATTTATTTTTGTACAAAATAAATCAAAAATTTGTTTAGTGTATAAAAATATTTCTAAAATAAATAAAAATAGAAAAATATATTTGATAAGTTACAAGAGTTGGTGGTCAAAATGGAGGATAGATAGATGTGGTGATCAGTAGTGGTAAGTGGCTAGAGATGTCTACCGAATTAGTGATTGAATGCTATCAAAGGTTATGAGGTGGCCTTAAGGATGTCAGAAGGTGACTGAAAATTACAACGGTGATCGCCGTCCCATCAGAGAGTCGTCGGAAGTTGGCCGAAGCTTGCTACCCAACGGCGGTGGGTGGCGGTGGCGGTGGCCGTGGCGGTGGGGGTGGTGGGTGAGAGAAGAAAGTGAATTTTTTTTAAAAAAAAAACAAGTGAATACACATTTTTTGTGTTTTTAAAAATTTTGAAATTAATTTCATTTTTTTTAAAAAAATAAAAACAATATAAAAAACAAATTTTCATAATTTCATTTTTAGTCGTCCAAAAAAAAAAAAAAAAGGGTTAACAACTGACCCCTAAATATTTGATATTTCCCCTTTCTAAAATTACCAAATTACCCCGTTTCTATTCTTTACTAACAAACCTCTCCTCTTTCTCCACTCTCTTGATCGCTTCCTCCACTATTTCCTACCACCGAAAGCACCACCAAACAACACCACTCTCCATCATGCACTATAATAATCAGAAAATGGTTGGTTGTGGGTTTTTGAAAAAGTAAAAATAAGAAAAATGCTCCTGACCCCTTTTCTCCCCCACCCCCTGTTGGATCAATCTTCTGTGTAAATAAAGAATTTGAAATAAAATCAAACAAAATAAATAAATAACATACCGGATTTATTTATCGAATCGAATTAAAATTAAGACCAAGTCGAGTGTGTGACACTCTGTCCTTAAGACAGATTCGCCCCACTGCGGTGCTTACGGTTGAGTGGCGTCTATCTCCCAGGATACAATGATCTTCACAAATTTGTAGTAGCAATTCAAACAAATTTGTTCGACGAACCAGAACCTTGTGTTCTATAACTCTCTGAAATTTTTCCTAAAATAATATAAAGAATAAAGGATGCATGAGAGCAAAATGAAAGCAAGGAAAATGAATTTTCGGAATCAATCAAAATTGGAATGGGGCTGCCTTTATATAGGCTTTGTTGGCACCTATTCAATTTGAATAGAAAATGTATGAAGAAGGGACATACCCTTCCCTTTAAAATAAAGAGACACCATGAAAGGTTTGTACCATTTCATTCAAATGGAGGTTTGACCCTTCATTTAAAACAAAAAGACACCATGAAAGATTACACCATTTCATTCAAAATGGAGTCTATTTCAATTCACAACTATCTCTTTATAAATTTTCCAACAATCCCCCACATGAATGAAATTGACAGTGAGAAAATGCAACAACATGATGTAAATACAGAGAGTACAGAAATTGGAAATATTCTGCAAATGATAGATCGCTTTTGGCTTTGAACCTTTCCTTGTGAAATACTATCGGATTTACTAGCTAACCAGTGAACATGATGTCTTGAACTGTTCAGCCGTTTATGTAAACCAAGACAATAAAACTCACACAATATATCTCCAGACACAGTTTAGTTCTCACTATTGTGTTCATTTTGGCCTTGAACAACCTGGTCTTTCATGAGTGCTCTAAAGACTTGTAGCCCTTCACAAATCTTATAGAACCGGCCCAGTTCACACTCACATAGGTGATTCTTATGAAAAGTATCCTGCCATACTCTACTAGGTTTACCTAGATATAAGAATCATTAAAAGTATTACTTAACCTAAACCGCTGCAGACATCACTATTTCATCAAAGAAATGGGTAGGAGATAAACTCCCCAGTGATCCTTCTGAGTCATTCACAACTCGGTTGTCCCTTTGAACCTAGATCTTGGGATCTCTAGTCAATTGGGTTGGGTTGCCGTTGTGGTAACTCTTATTTAATAGGCTTTAGTCCCATTCCCCTCGATGAATTCTCAACTAACTCTCTTGCTAACCCTTTGGTCAGTGGATTCGCTATGTTGTCTTTAGACTTAACATATTCTATGGACATAATTCCATTAAAGAGTAGTTGTCTTACGGTATTATGTCGACGACAAATGTGTCGAGACTTACCGTTATACATATGACTCTGTGCTCTACCAATTGCTGATTGACTATCACAATGTATGTATATAGCAGGCACCGGTTTTGGCCAAATTGGAATATCTTCAAGGAAGTGGCGAAGCCATTCAGCCTTTTTCTTGCTTTGTCTAAAGCTATGAATTCAGATTCCATAGTAGACCTAGCAATACAAGTCTGTTTGGAAGATTTCCAAGATACAGCCGCCCCACCAAGAGCAAAGACATACCCACTGGTGGACTTTGAGTCTTTTGTATCCGATATCCAATTTGCATCACAGTATCCTTCAAGTACTGCTGGATATCTAGTATAATTAAGCACAATGTTACGAGTAAATCAGAGATATCTAAGAACCCTTATAATTGCTTTCCAGTGTTCTACTCCCGGATTACTCGTATATCTACTTAATTTACTTACTGCATAAGCTATATCTGGGCGAGTACAGTTCATCAAGTACATTAAGCTTCCAATAATTTGGGCATACTCTAATTGAGAAATACTTTCCTGTACATTCTTAGAAAGATACAAATTAATAACTACAGGTGTTCTTACAAGATGATCATCATCTTTGCTAAATTTGTCAAGTATTTTCTCAATGTAATGAGGTTGTGACAAAGCATATCCTTCTGATGCTTTGGTAATTTTCATACCAAGTATTATATCAGCAATGTCCATGTCCTTCATGTCAAAATGTTTATTCAACATTTTCTTGGTAGTTTTAATCATGTCATTATTACTACCAATGATGAGCATATCATCTACATAAAGACATACAATGACATAACCTTTATCTGTGTTTTTAATATAAACACATTTGTCACACTCATTAATTTTAAATCCATTTGACATCATTGCCTTGTCAAATTTCTCATGCCATTGCTTTGGCGCTTGTTTTAAACCATATAATGATTTAACTAATTTACACACTTTCTTTTCTTTCCCTGGAACAGAAAACCCTTTTGGTTGTTCCATGTAAATTTCTTCATTTAACTCACCATTTAAGAAAGCGGTTTTTACATCCATTTGATGGATTTCTAAATTGTATAGAGATGTAATGGCAATTAGCATTCTAATGGATGTTATTCTAGTAACCGGTGAGTATGTGTCAAAGTAATCAAGACCTTCTTTTTGTCTAAACCCTTTGACCACAAGTTTTGCCTTGTATTTGTCAATTGATCCATCCGCTTTCAATTTTTTTTTTGAAAATCCACTTGTACC